TGTTATATGAGGAAGATGGGAAAGCTACACCTATTTTCTTACTGAAGATAGGCAGTTGAACTTAACTTTAGTTCCTTACCTCTCTCAAAGGCATTTTCAGTGAGTTTATTAATAGACCTTAGTTTGACTGCAGAAGTGTCATGCAGTTTACAAGGGAGGCTGTAAGTGATCCATTATGGTCAGGATTAGGTGATCCATCTGGGAGAAGAGGTGGTCCTTTTCTCCCAGAGTTCCTGCTGTCACAAGTCCTCATGTACATTTTCTCTGTGGGCTAATAACAAGGAAAGGATAACTAAAGCTTTTATGCTTTCTTCCACTTTCTGAGGGAGAAAATTGTCAGCAACATTTGTTTACAATTTTTGGAAAGACTCCTTCACAGAATTTGTCTCCCAACAGAATAGTTACCCCTTCCTCCCATCACTTATTGTTAAATGTCTCTGAAAGAGATTGCAGCTTGTTGGAGACTATGATTCATATCTTAACCAGGCAAGTAGTATATACCGTCAACGAAAGTTTTTACTTTTTTTTGTCCTTCGATTTATTTTAACCCAGATTATTTCTAGAGCAGAAATAGACCCGGATCAGCATTGTAGTTCTCCTCTAGGGGCCCCTCGGGGAGGGGGGTAGGTGGGAGACGGGACGGATGCCTCCTGAAGCACCCTACTAGCAAAAATGGGGCGTGGAGGGCTGCGTATGGCACACCGTGGCCCATTTTCAGTCATGGCCTCCTGCAGCACTCTGCCAGCCCCATTTTGGCTACCAGAGACACCATGGGCCAGTTCTTTGCTAGTTCCAGGCCAGCCCCTTGGGCCAGATTTAAGCACTGTGTGGGCCAGATGTGGGCCATGGGCCTTGAGTTTGACATCCCTGTTCTAGAGTATCTCCAAGTTGATCCATTTGGATTTTTCATCAGATATAGATACTTTTACCAAAGAGTGCACTTCCCATCACCTTTTATGTCTTCCATTTCTTTTGAACAAATGGTGTACTTAGATTACTACTTTCTACTTATTGAAGTCATTCCACCAGGCCTCTGTTACTATACCTGTTGAATATTTTAGTCTTCCTCTACAAGGAATTCAACTTCATCTTTAAAAATTTCATATACTGGACTATGGCATATAGATAATAGAGGCCATAAACTTTATGAGACAGACTTCTTTCTGTTTTTTATTGAATGGTTTAATAGGACCCATTACAGCCCACTCTCAACAGTGCTCATGTCTTTATCTGAGGTCTGTATTTATGTCTTTGTCTCCATCCTACCTATAGATTCAAGGTAAAGCTGTTCTGGTCAACTCTGTTATGGTTTTGCCAAAAACATTTTTACATTAAATATGCATTTCAGCCCATGACTCTTCTGTTTATCCTCTTGAAAGATGCAGCTACCTGCCCTCTGCCCTTCATTGTCCTGCCACCTGCTCATCAAAGTCCCATTTTCTTCCCTCAAGTGCTTAGAGATTCTACTTCATGTCTGAGGGCCTGCAAGCAATTTCTCAATATGACCTCTGCCTCTTATTTCTGATGATTATTTTTATCCCTCCTTCATATGGTTAAATAGTCTTCTTATAATATAGTTAACATGATTATGCTGTAGACATAACACTTTCATCTGTAATATTAAAATTTCAATTTAGAGGTCTCTGAGATTACTCCCAAGATCTGTCTAGTACAATAGTCCTCTACCTATAGCCACAGTTAGGACGGGAACTTGTTTTGCCAAGTGTGGTGGTCATAAATGAATTGTGCCCAATTTTATATATATTTTGTCATGGTTGTCAAGTGACTCTCCATGGTTATTGAGGGAATCATACAATCTTTAAGTGAATCTGGCTTTCTCCATTGACTTTGCTTGTCAGAAGGTACCTGGGAAGGTTGCAGATGATAACTACATAACCCTGAGATGCAGCAACCATCTTAAAAAGCAGGCTGGATGTCAAGTGTCTAGATTTTGATCATGTGACTGCAGGAATTCTGCAAAGTGCAAGGATTGGACTTAAGTCACTTTACTATTGTAACTTCAATCAGTTGCTAAATGAATGAGGATTCTCATTCTCATCTCTGTTACCATCTGGCAAAGTAAATGCCGTTCTAAGCAGTCTCTTGTGCCAGACAGCAAGTTGCTACTGCAAAGATTTGAACCAACATTTTCATGAGGGAGAGATGCTTACTTTGGTGTATAGCAAAATGAGATTTCTCCCGTCTCTCTTTTTTTGTTCTTTTGGTAAGTGCAGTCAGAACTCTGGGGAAAAAAGAGGAAAATCTGTGCCAAGGCTTTGGGGAGAAAAAGAGCACTAAGATTCTTCTCTAACTTCTGGTTAAAGTTGGACTTTGCAGGAAGAAGGATTTTCCAACGAATTGCAAAGAGATAACATCTGGTCAAGAGTTTGTTTTCTTCCTTTAGTGGAATAGGAAAAAGTTAAGTACTGAGTTTCTTTTTTCTTCTGTATCTGCTAGTTAATGCTGGATTGTCTCTGGCAACTATTCTGTACAAGATCACTGATAATATTTTTATGTGCACATCAGAATGGAAGGTGGCCAGCATCTGACATCAGGTCTGTCAGAAGGTTATTTTTTGCTGCATATTTTCCATTGCAAAAAAAAAAAAAAGATTTCTATAAACAAAAAAGTTATGTTTTAATGTTGCCTGTTTGCTATGAGGCCCTCTCTCTCTTAAATGTTGGAGTTAAGGAAGACATCAAATGAAGGATCCTCTGGAAATTAAATGAGAGTAGCAATTACTACCATAAAGGAATACCATGATTGGACTAGGTGAGGGGTCAGCAAACTTAAACACTCAAAGAGCCATTTGGACCCGTTTCCCACAGAAAAGAAAACACTGGGAGCCACAAAGGTCCTAACTTGAAGCCGCCTGTTCAGTTTTGGAGCTGACCGGAAGTTCAGTTCCCCCACCATAGACTCTCCTCCTAGCGCGGCGTACTTTTTCCTCTACCTGTCATAACCGAAAGCCCTATCAATTGTGGAGNGAGCCATTTGGACCCGTTTCCCACAGAAAAGAAAACACTGGGAGCCACAAAGGTCCTAAATAGAAGCCGCCTGTTCAATTTTGGAGCTGACCGGAAGTTCAGTTCCCCCACCATAGAGTCTCCTCCTAGTGCGGCGTACTTTTTCCTCTACCTGTCATAACCGAAAGCCCTATCAATTGTGGAGACAACTGGAAAACCCTCCCCTTGCCATAGAGTCATCTCCTGACTCACTGTGCTTCTCTTCCTCCGGAAGCTCCTCTCCAAATTGTGGCCCCAACTGGTGACGGAGCTGCAGTAGAGGGAAGAAAGAGCCACTCCAGAACCGCAGTTTGCTGACCCCTGGACTAGGTCATGTAAATCCAGAGGACTTCCAGTAGAATTTTGAGACCTCTAGATTTTATCCTGAGATCAGACTTCTGCTACATGTTCTCTCTCTCTTTCCCTCCCTCCCCCTCTCCCTCCCCCCCACCTCTTTCTCTCTCTCTGTCACACACACACACATGCTTTTTAAGAGTCTTCTTGAACATGTTGAAGGAATAGGTAGATTTAGTAGATGTATCTCCACTACTATGTTGTGGACGTCATTAGAATAAAGATCACTTTTGGTGATAAATGTAATAGTAACCCTATATTACAGATTTATCCTCAAATACGGATTTGTTCTTTCATTGTAAGAAAATATATTTTCAGTTTAAATACGGTATTTTGGGGTGTGGAGTGTGCCTCTGAGTCAATATTGACTGCCTGGAAAATTCCCTGCAGTTTTCTTGGCAAGATTTCAGAAATGGCTTGCTATAATCTAAAGAAATATAAAGAAAATGGAGCATATTCATCTAAATGTAATTATAATATACATACATAATGATTTCTGCAAAAAAATCCCCACACTTTTTTCTGGTAGGAGAAAATTATCTTTACGACACGATTTAGAACATTCCCTTTTAGAAAATTTGGAATCTTCCCTCACACACAGCTGCTCATATACTTTCAAATATTTGTTGCTAACATTTTAGCCTGTAGGGAAAAATGATATTTAAAAGAAAAAGATTGAACTTGCAGTCTATTAGCTAATATTTGCTGCATTGGTTACCAGTTGTTTCCAGTTCTAATTCAAGGTGCTGGTGTTGACCTTTAAACCCTACATGGCACGGTACCAAATTATTTGAAAGACTGCCTTTCCCTGATTTCATTCGCTTGTCCCATCAGATCCAACAGAACAGGCATGATACAGGTTATGTCATCTAGGGAGCTACATTTTGTGGGTTCTAGGTGGCAGGCATTTCTTCTCTGCCCCCACGCTGTTGGAATCTTCTTTCCCCAGGTGTGGGTGGCACTGCTAAATCTCTGAAGGTCCTTCGAGACTTGGTTGTAGCAAGGCTTGAAGCCTTGGGAACCACAGGGGATAGGTGAATCTAATGAGGTGGCTGCATTACTATTAACAGCCCTTGTCTATTATTCTTGTTTTGGTTGTTTTTATAGTTTTAAAATGTTTTTAATACTTGTTAACAGTAATAATTTTAGATACTTAGATGCCAGAGTCAATTGGATTGAAATGAGTGGTTGTAGAAATTGATTATTGCTTGACTGATTGATTGTTTTAATTTTTCTGTACCCTGCCCAGAGTTTCTTGTGAGACACATAATATTAGTATTATAAAATAACAAGCGGGTCTCCAAATGCCATTAAACTATAGATCGCAGGTTCATTCATGCTGGTTTCACTGCTGGGAGATGGCTGGAGGATCATAACTTCCCTATCTTTGTACTAAAATTAGGAAAGACAAGAAATAATGATTTACAAAGAAAGTAACATAGTTCATGAGAGAAAAGAAGATTTCCTAAAAGAATGGACATGGTGCCTAAGAATTTAAATATTCAGCAATCTTGCATAGGCCTTGAATAAATGCGGCATTGCTAACGTAAACTATTTGTAATGTCCTTTGGAGTTTCTGCTGTAACAATGTTACCTTATGCAAATGTTGATTAGATTTGGTTTTTTGTGTGTGTTTTGTAGGATATCAACCAGAAATTGCAAGAAGACAACCAGGAGCTGCGAGATCTTTGTTGCTTCTTGGATGATGACCGGCAGAAAGGCAAAAAAGTATCCCGCGAATGGCAGAGGCTTGGGAGGTATAGCGCTAGCATGATGCATAAAGAGGTTGCCTTATATTTGCAAAAGCTGAAGGAACTAGAAGTAAGGCAGGAAGAAGTTGTGAAAGAAAACTTGGAGCTGAAGGAGCTTTGTGTCTTGTTGGATGAAGAAAAGGGTGGTGTTGCTGGCTGCCGAAATTCAATTGATAGTCAAGCCAGTCTTTGCCAATTAAATGCCACAAGTACATTCATCAGGGATGTTGGAGATGGGAGTAGTACCTCCAGTACTGGGAGCACTGATAGTCCTGATCACCATAAGCACCATTCAAGCTCAAGTCCTGAGCACCTCCAGAAAACAAGGAGTGAGGGAAGTCCTGAGCATCAAAAGCACCGGAGTGCTAGCCCTGACCACCTCCACAAACCTCGAAGTTCTGGAAGTCCTGACCACCAGAAGCATCTGAAAGGACCAAGTCCAGAGCATCATAAAACCCTTACCAAAGGTACTTCAGAGCAGCAGAAGCACAGTTGTAGCAGTCCAGAAACACTGCCAAAGCACATGTTGAGCGGGAGCCCAGAACACTTTCAAAAGCATAGGCCTGGGAGCAGTCCAGAACATCAAAAGCACAGCAGCAGTGGAAGCCCCGAACTTCTTCAAAAGCATGCTCTGAGTGGAAGCTCAGAACACCTCCAAAAAGTGAGGGGCACAAGTCCTGAACATCTCAAACAGCATTACGGGGGAAGTCCCGAGCATCTCAAACATTTGGGCAATGGCAGCAGAGAAGGAACCTTAAGGAGACAAGTTGCAGATGATCTGTCACCCCATCACAGGGGCCTCTACAATGGGATGAATGGTGGGTCTTCCTTAGTTATTTTTATTGATTTATTATGATGTTAAGGGCAGCGATTGAGATTTTTTAAATGATGAGCACTAATTATCATAAAAGGTGCATACCAAATGCACCTTTTGGTATGTGGCATGTTCACAATGAAATTCATTTTTTATTTTTTCCTGGTAAGCAGGAATTGTTTTTGCATTTGTTCCCTCTGAAAAATGCAGATCAGATTACAGGATGTTTGTAATAGGCTTCATAGTAATTGAATCTCATGGGCTTTGTGCGAAATTGTCTTACCTGCATGGCAAGCCTTGAAATAAAGTGGTGTGCAGCGTCTGAGAGCATGTAGACTTGCCTTAAAAGGGAGAGATAAGAGTGAAATGAAGGAAAGTGTTCCCCACTTCTCTCCCAAGAAGACTTTGAAGAGAGTAGGGAGTGTTTGCATCTCTTAATTAGGTTCTATTTTCTTTATGCTTAGGTCTTGGTTTGCTTCAGATGCCTAATTGAGATATGTTGATACTAACTGATAATCTTAATAACTTTGAGGAAGGAGGACTATGCTTCTCCAAGTGCTGTCTCCACTCAGATAAAAACTTTCGAAGGTATTTTGGTGTCCTCATTTGGCAATTTTCTTAAGAATGTGCTTTATTTTTGCTCTTGACAAATGGATGGCTAGCTATTGACATTACAGAGAGGAAACCGGCAGTAAAAAAAGAATAGAACAGGTATAGTTTCTATGATCCTTTGTCTAATATCCATGTAGTTAGTGTTCCTGTCTTGAGATGGCTGTGCAGATTTCTTTGAGAAAAAAATATAGGCAGTATTGTTTGGCTGTTATTTGGGGTATTTGTCTACTTGTAAGCTTAATTTATTTTTTTCTGGGAATGTTTATAAAGCAAAAATGGGTTTGCTGGCATTTAGCTTTTTGAGTGCATTTGTGATGGTGGATTGATATTTAAATAGTTTCCTCTAGAATGCAAATGTAGTTTGAACTAGCAGGACAGGAGGTATACCAGGCTACAGAGGCACTATGGATCACTCTTAAGATATAGTTTGAACAGATGCAGGTCTCAATGAATATTTAGCACAATATGCTCCAGTTATTTCTAAATGTTTTGGCCCATAACAAAAAGGCTTCAAATGACAAACAGGCCTTGCTGGATTGGAGGATCTCATTAGTAACATTTTGATTCTACCATTGCTGAGAAAATAAATAATTTTTTGATTGAAAACAAAATAAAGCTATTTAAAGTTGAAGAGTTATATTTCTGATTGCAGGAGCTGCCTTCTGGGAAGGGGTCTCTTTCCTCATTATGCAGAATTCATCCCTAATTTTTTATTGGCTGAACTATTTTTTTGAACCTTCCCCCCCCCAAAAAAACCCCACACATGATATATCGTGTTTCCCTGAAAATAAGACTGGGTCTTATTTTCTTTTGACCCTGAAGTAACCACTTGACCTTATTTTCGGGGAGGTCTTATTATTTTTGAGGTGCAGGAGGCGGCGAGTGTGGTCACATCAGGGCTGCTGCTGTGTTGCAATATTTTCTGAGAAGGCTTATTTTTGGGGGGAGGGCTTATTTTAGCACATGTGCTCAAAAGCCTGATAGGTCTTATTTTCAGGGAAACATGGTACATATATAAGCATGTACACATAGACACACACAGACACACACTTGTGTGTGTTTGACCTTGTACTTGTATAAAAGCTACATTCCAGAATTACAGTTTTCAGTACAGACCATATATGGTCAAAAAGCAGATTCTTTGGGATTTTTTAAGATGTTATTGCCCTACCCTGATAAAATCAGAAACAGGAATATATATGGATTGTTTTGATTCATTCATTCATTCTTTTGTGTTTGAATCTACTATTTTTGTGCATTGCATCTTTCCTTCCACTGTCAGAAAGGGAAAGAGGAAGAGATGAATCACTCCACTAGATTGACTATGTAAGCTCCTGGAGATGATGGATGAATAGCTTGTTAACTTGGTTCAGATAGAATTAGGCAGCTTCCTAAGAACATTGGAAGAACTTTGCTTAATATTATGATATATGATATATTGAATAGCTTTTAATGTATGTAAATGTAATTGTATTAAATTTACTAGTGTTAATTTATCATTCAAAATTAAAAGGTTGCTTGTAATCTTATTAGCTCCAGGACAGGTTTTTTTTGATATAAATCTATCAAAACTAATAAGAAAGATTTTGTTGAAACTTACATCAATGTCATCTCAAATTTTATGACATTCCTCTCTGACTAACTTCAAAATTTCAGTGCCTTAACCCTGGAGAAGGTAAAGTTTAAATTTTGGGGGGAAGGTAATTGAAAACTTTCTGAAAGGTGGCTGCAGGAGATTATCCACTGATGCTGTGATATTGACCATTTCTTTTAGCCCTTTTTTCTTTTTTGAAAAAAAAAAGTTTTTTAAATGGTGGGGACAGGAAGAGAACACCCACTAGAGGCAAACTGCTGAATTTCCCATTCTTATACCACTTAGAAATGGGTGCAAGTTCTGATGCTATTTTGCCACTATTAGAGATATAGTCTGACAGTGCTAAGAATGCTGCAAATTGGATACAAGAGTGTTGTTTCCGTACTATGTCTTATTTACCCTAACTTCATAAACCATATTTGTTTAGCTTCATTTGCACTATAGTGTTGAACTTATCAGAAGCATTTAATGCCTTTCACCATGTTTAAGTATGTGAAACTACTTGTGAGGATTGGAGGCAGCATGGTATAGTGGTTCTGCTCCTTTTCTCTCCCATCAAATCTTATTTTGAAATTAACTTCTGTTTTCTAGGAAAATAATGTTCGTTCCCTATTTCTCTCTCTCCTCCTCAATGTTTCTTCCATCTGCACATTTGGTATGGATTGACTAGGTCAGGGGTGTCAAACTCAATTTCATTGAGGGCTGCATCAGCATTATGGTTGCCCTCAAAGGGCCAGGTGGGCATGGCTGGGTGGGCATGTCTAGCTTGATGTGGCCGGCTTGACATCATGCACATTGAGGGGCACCTGTGGGGGGACCAGGAAGGCTGGAAGGGGCATCTGGAGGTCTCCAGCAGAGGAAGGTAAGATCAGGGTGAGTGCCAAGGCTCATCCACCAGAGAAGCCTCGCTGTCCCTCTCAGGCCATGCGGAGAACCTCTGGATGGCAGCACAGGCTGCCTGGAGTCCTGGGTAGCAGAGGCAAGTCCCCAATCTGGGCCTCAAACTCCCAGGGCAACAGGATCCCGCAGTCTACTCTAGCCCAGCTCCACTTCCTTGAGTAGGTGCCTGGCCATGCTTACCTCCTCCCCAAGGCTGCTGCTGCTGCTGCTGCCACCATGGGGTGAAGTTGGGTGAGGCAAAGTGTAATGAGGCGGCAATCTGTGAGGATTCTGATCATTAGCCAACAGTAGCCAATTCTATGTTCCCCTGAATAGTCTGTAATCCATAACCCTCTTAATTTAAAAAAAATTAAGCCCATGCAGTCACCACTTCCTGTGCACATGCCCAGGGGCAGCACCTGTGCCAGTCTGAGCCGAAGCAGCAGGGGCTGGTCCCTTGCTGTTTTCAGGGCGGTCCCATGGGCCGGATCTAACAACCTCATGAGCTGAATCTGGCCTGTTGGCCTTGAATTTGACATGTCTGAACTATTTGATAGTTCTCTGGGTTCTGTTCTCCATCTTCTGTTTTTGTTTTTATTTCTGATAGAAGCAAGCATTACCCTCTTCTAGTCATCTCGTGCTTCGTCCATCTCAGAGATTTCTCAGAGGCAGCAGATAGAAGTGCTTCACTTTCTCCCCGTGTTCCCACTACAGCTATGCTGTTTATTGACTGTTTCCCCCCCTGTTGCTTAGGATCAAAGATGCTGCTTATGTGCCTTCCTCCATCTTCTGAAGGAGAAGGAGGTCAGAGATTCCCTGGACAGACCACATACATAGGTCCTACAAGAATTATAGAGTAATTAAAATTCCATTTTACTATTTATTATATCTTTGATAGATGTGCAGGATTGTGTGTGTGCGGGGCTGGAATGTATTTTCTCCTTGGCTATGAGCAGTTAGCAGTTAGTGTGGTCAAAGCTATTGCTTTTTCCTGCCTTCCACTTACTTTGCCTTGGAGCTCTGTATTATGCCAGGTCTTTAACAGTTTAATTTGCTGCTTCTTCCTAGCGTTATGGTTTCCTTATAAGCTGTGTCACTTGTTATACCTTCAATTTTTTTTTCTTGAAAGTTCCATCTCTTCTTCTTTTCTTTATTGGAAAATTTAAAAATTAATTCTCACATGCACATTCGCAGCTTGGTATCATTTCACTTAGTTTTCTCAACATTGCATGGCTGGCAACTGAACGTGTGAACCGTACCTGCTAAAATGTCTTGGATTTGAATGATTATTCAATGTTGCACTTAGAAATTTACATGGCTGAAAAGAATGATTATGGGCAGTATTCCCCTCCATCTGTTTGTTTCTCAGGTATATCTGATGGAAAGTTGTCTCTGGAAACTTTCTTGTAAAATTGCTTCCAGAATAGTGAATGTTAAAAATGCATGTACTCTACTAAATCCTGTTCCTTTCTTTATATGTGGCAAGGATAGAATGGAATAGAAAATATATCCATAGAATCCAAAGTTGGAACTCATCAAAAAGGGCACCACCACAGCAAGTATCCTGCAATATGCTCTAGGTTACTGAAGCATTTTATATATTTATATTGCTTCTTGCATAGACTAATGCGTTTAAATGATGCTTGGGCATTCTTTACAGTTCCCGTGAGGGGAAACTATGGAATACTGGCTTTATGTAACATATCACATTTAGAAATGTATGGGCAGAAATTAAATGTTATTGAGAATGTGGGCTCCTATCCAAAATGACAGCTCTTTTTTCTAATTTGGGCTTAAATGGCTTAAATGGGATGCCATAGAGCTGGGCATGGGTGGGCGGAGCCACCCGTGATTTCTGCTAATGGTTCGGGAAATCCAGTTTGAACTGTTAGAAAACCACCTCTGGCTATCTCTCAACA